ATTCCTGGAGCCACCCTCTGGGAGGCAGTTGGGTCTCTAGGCTCCCCTGTGGACAGCCCTGCATTCGTTTGCTTGAACCACAGAACGGCATTCCCAGCAATGCCAGCTGCAGCCACGAGTCCTAGGCCTGACATCCCAGCCAAGTTACATAGACTTTCTCTGAGGCTCATTAAAAGATGGTGTTGGATACCTTAACCCAGTGGTAGTTTCGCCCCACAGTGCCAGCGTTGTTCGCCGAGGGTGGCTCAACAGGCCAGCGTTCCATACAGATGCACAGCTCATCTAAGATTCCACTGAGATCATTTTTGGCTCCCGAGCACAGAGGGGAAGAGATGGAGCCTGGGGCTGAGCCATGAGCTCAAATCCCAAAGCAACACCTTCACTATCTTAGTTGCTCAGTTTATCGGACAGCCGAGGGGAGAGTCCAAGCCACACTCTGGGCACCGGGTAAGGCGTCTGGTGGGGCAGCAGGAGCCGCTTACGGCAGCAGCCCAGGAGGAACCGGCTGCAGAAGGGGCAGATCTGAGCGAGGTGGGGACTCAGTGGGACTGTGAGAGGCTGGCCACCCGGGATGAGGAAGGGGTGGTCCAGGGTGACGCCTGGGAGTTTGGTTTGGGTGCCTGAACACCCAGAGGAGAGTGGATCAGATGAGAAGTTAGCCTTGGACTTTTGGGTTTGCCATCCTGGTGGTGGAGAGGCTCAGCGTGGCTGTTGGGAGCTAGGGGGCTGGAGCCGGAGATGCATGATCTCCTGAGCTCCTGGATTTGGGCTCCGAGGTCGAGAGAACGCAGAGGAGCCGGGAGAGGCTCCTGCCCACCTCTCTGGCCTCCCTCCCGCCTCCCCCTCCCTCTGGACCCCAGTGCTCAGGCCTTCCTGCTGCTCCCTCAGCCTGGAACAGTCCTCCTTCCCTCCGAGAGGGCGGAGCCTGGCACGTCGGGGAGGCAGCAGAGCCTAGAAGCTGCGTGTTTATCTTGGAGGGGACAGAGCCAGTGGGGTCGGCCGCGCCAGCCGGGGCAGGGCGCGCGGCGCTGCTCGGAGGT